GACAGGGGGATTTCCTAGCATCGATAGATATCATGGAGGCTTACCTCCACATTCCCATTCATCCAGCTCACCGTTGATTCCTGAGGTTCTACTACAAGGGCAGACACTTTCAGTACAGGGCCCTCCCCTTCGGTCTTTCGTCTGCGCCCAGGATATTTACAAAAATCCTAGCCGTGCTGGCCGCCCAGTTGAGGAAGGTTCCAATACGCGTCCAGTGTTATCTGGATGACATCCTGATTCAAGCGTCATCCTTCCAGGCAGCTCAGGCGGACGTGAATCACACCATTCAGGTACTTCAACAACATGGCTTCTCAGTCAACTTCCAAAAAAGTCTGACAATTCCCTCGTCCAGACTCTTGCACCTGGGAGCCGTGATAGACACCTCCAACTGCATGGTCTATCTCTCCCAGGAGCAAGTGGTCAGCATCAGCTTGCCGGGTGTACAGGGAACATTCTGTCCAGTTCTACTCTCTCAGCTATTAGGAAAGATGGTCTCCTGCATAGCCATTGTTCCCTGGGCCAGACTTCACTTGCGGGACCTCCAGCTGTACCTGCTGCCATTCCAACAGGCAAATGCCAGTGCATCCAGCCGTCAGGTCAGGGTCCCGGTTTAGGTTCGCAGGGCTCTTTGCTGGTGGTTCTCACGGGCAGTGACCAAAGGGTCACCCTTCAAGGAACTGGACTGCATCACCATCACGACAGACGCCAGTCTGTTTGGATGGGGGGCCCATCTACAGTCTCAGTTTGTGCAGGGCCGTTGGTCCCGCGCAGACTTGAGACACAACATCAATTGGCTGGAGCTCAGGGCCATCCACCTGGCTCTACGCCAATTCAGACACATGATCAGGGGTCGCCACGTTCTGGTCCTCACGGACAACGTGGCATCCAAAGCCCACGTCAACCATCAGGGGGGCACCAGCTCCAGGTCTCTGATGTCCGAGGCATGGCTCCTGGGTTCCTGGGCAGAGTCCAATCTGGCCTCCATCAAGGCCGAACACATCTCAGGGGTCAACAACCAGCAAGCAGACTTCCTGAGTCATGCTACGGTGGACCCATCAGAGTGGGGATTACATCCGCACCTGTTCTCCGAAATATCTCTCCGGTTCGACCGACCGATCCTCGACCTGTTTGCGTCGTCGACTAATGCTCAACTCCCCAGGTACTATTCCCGCTATTTCCTTCCAGGGGCAGAGGGAACAGACACCTTGCGGACTCCATGGCCGCAAGGTCTGCTTTACGCCTTCCCTCCCCTACCCCTTATACCGGCGACCATCCGCAAGATACTTCAGGAACGGGTGGATGTGATCCTCGTGGCACTGTACTGGCCTCAGAGGCCGTGGTTTGCCGACTTGATGACTTTTTCCCGATTTCCTTCATGGAAGATTCCCCCTCATCGGGTGTCACTACATCAGGGGTCCCTTCAACATCCAGAACCCCAATGGTTACAACTAACCGTTTGGCGCTTGAGCGCTGCATAATGACCCAAGAATTATTTTCCCCTCGTGCCATTTCCATGATTCAGGCTTCCTGCCGCCCAGCGACCAATCGCATTTATAATTCTACCTGGAAGAATTTTTGCCATTGGTGTCGGAGGCGACAACTAATCATACACTAGCTAACCATCCCTCAAATCGTAGATTACCTTTTGGATGGCCTGGATAGAGGCCTCGCCCCTGCAACCATTCGCAGACAGGTGGCTGCCTTGTCCACATTACTTACCTGTGCGGATTCAGTTCCTTTGGCTCACCATCCCAGAATTCGTGCCTTTATCAAAGGTGCGTGCAACACTAGGCCTCCCGTGGTGCACAGGTATCCTTCTTGGGAATTACCTCACGTACTTCAGGCTCTAACTAGGCCACCCTTCGAGCCTATAATGACTGTTTCGTTAAGGAATCTATCTCTTAAGGTCGCGTTCTTAATAGCTGTCACATTGGCCAGACGTATCTCTGAGCTCGCCGCCCTATCGGTCAAAAGTGACCTTTGCATTTTTCACAGTGATCGGGTGGTCCTTCGTCTGGACCCCACATTTGTGCCCAAGGTAAATTCGCTTTCCACAGGGCTCAGGAAGTCATCCTACCTAATTTTTGCCCCGACCCTTCCCATGACTTGGAGCGGCAGTGGCATACGCTGGACGTCCGCAGAGCGTTGCGGCGCTACATCAAGCGTACAGAGCCCTTTCGCAGGTCCGAGGCCCTATTTGTTTCCTTCCATCCGGCCTCTTTGGGACAGAAGGTTTCCTCTGGCATGATTGGCAGGTGGATCAGGGCCTGTATTGCGGAGGCGTACCAGTCCTCTTCCCTGCCAGCTCCAAGTCATCTCATTGCCCATTCCACTCGCAGTGCTGCGACTTCTGCAGCATGGGCCACTCAGGCATCCATCGAGGAGGTTTGTAGGGCTGCGACTTGGTCTTCACCCTCCCCGTTTATACGCCACTACAAAATTGATCGTTTTGCTTCAGCGGAGTGGTTCCTTTGGGCGGAGGGTCCTTCAGCAGGTGGTTCCCAGAGACACTATTCCGGCCTTATCTGTTTCCCACCCATCGGGACAGTGAGGCTTTGGTATGTCCCATTGGTGGATTCTCCATCTCCTGTACTGGAGAAGGGGCGTTGTCTTACCTGAACGCCTTTTCTCAGTACGGAGATGGAGAATCCGCACCCACCCCTTATAGTCAGATAGGCCACTGTAGGGGTTTGAGAGCCAACACCTCGTCCATCTTCAGTCACTTTTGCCCTCGTTAAGACTGGATCTCCTGGCAAGAGGGGGCATGTCAAGTTTGGCTACTTGATCTCAAGAGCAGGCAGACAAAGAAAACCCATTGGTGGATTCTCCATCTCCGTACTGAGAAAAGGCGTTCAGGTAAGACAACGCCCCTTCTCTTACCATTTTCTTATTTTAATTTCTATTCCTAGTCTATCTTTTATGTTTATGTTTTTGATAGATTAGGCTGTATTATCTTTTTACATGAACACAGATGCAAAAAACTTCCTTGCCATTTTCTCTCATTAATGGATTGTTGTTTCCTTGACCTTTTTCTTGTTTTTTATATGTTGAAAAAAGCTTTTTTATTTTTAGGAGACTTTGTGGTATTCAGTCCTGACAGGCTCAATGTTGACTCAGCCTTCCAGCCTTCCAAAGTCGGTAAAATGAGGACCCAGATTGTTGGGAGCAATATGCTGACTCTGTAAATTGCCTAAAGAGGACTCTAAAGCACTGTGAAGTGGTATATAAGTCTAAGTGCTATTGCTATTATTGGTTTTGACATTTATTGCAAGTGTTACTTCTTGCTGAGCCTCAGCATTCATCTTTACAACTTTGGACTATTTGTTAGTATTCTGCCTTGGTTATGTGTCCCTCTTTCCATTTTTTATTAACCATGCTGGCTTCTTCTTGAATTTTTTCTTTTTCTTTTTCAGTGATATTGAGCTGAACTGGGCTTTTATAGTCATATTTTTCAGTTTCCCAAGCTTCTTGACTTGTTTTCCCCTTTAAGATTTTCATTCATAGGATTCTTCCAAAACTTCCAAGTTTGTTAAGGCACTGATTTGATTATTTATGTTCTATTGTTTGTGTTTTCATTATACTGAATTCCAATATGACGTAGTCACTCTCCTGCCAGGTTTCGGCAAATTTAACCCCCTCTATCACTTCTTCTCTGTTAGTAAGAATTAGGTCCAGTATAGCTGTCACTCTAGTTCCTTCCTCTACCTTTTGGATGGCAAAATTGTTTGATCTCCCACTTGATGTAGAGTTTGTCTCCCATTTGATGTCAGAGTAGTTTAAGTCCCCCATTATTACTGTGTGTGTTTCCTACATACATTTGTTAACTGGTTAGCTAAAAAGTCCATCTGTAGTGAGCTCTTACATATAATGCAACTCCATCTCCTCTTTTGTTAGATCTGTTTCTTTTGAACAGTTTGTAGCCTTCTCTCAGTACATTCCAGTCATGTGTTTCATCCCACCAAGTTTCAGTAGTGGCAACTGTATCATACTTGCCCAGTACTTCAAGTTCACCTTGTTTGTTCCCCAAACTTTGAGTGTTTGTGCATAGGCATTTCAGTCCTTTATGGCTGACCCTGGGTATGTTTCCTGTATCTCCTATTCTATATCTAAGCTTTCCTTCCTTTCCATCACTCCCTACCTCATTATTTGAAAAAAAATATTTTTCAATTTACAGTCTCTGAATGAAAATGTAGATAAAAGATTTGATGTTTTAACAACCGTCATAACTCAACGCAAGGATGATATTCAGATATAGCTAACAGTAGCTAAATCACACTTGCAATTGGGTGAATTAGAAGTCAATTTGTTGCTAACAGAATTGAAGGAGAAGGAAGGAGAATTGCAAGCTTGTTGGATAAGGCTGAAAAGGGCATGAATTTAAAAGGCTTAGAGACAGAAGTATGGATCAGTGGTGAACTGGAGTTTTTTTTAAAAAAACTGATGAAAATTGTGGAGTCATCATACTCAATCAGAACACAACTGAAGAGATATTTTGGTTCAACTTGCACAAAAAACTTCTGAATGTTGCGGAGATATCCACAACAGAGAACTAGGACTTGCAATTATTGGGAAAGATCCCAATTATAATTTTAAGGAAAAGCTTTATTATTAAGAATCAGTTGAAGATATTTGATCCTGGACAGATTAGAGATAATGACTGCAGTTTTTATGGTACAGTAAATAGATGTTAGGCAAAAAGAGCTGTTTATAAATTATAGACCTGTTTTTAAGAGAGGAAATTATTATTGTTGGGGAGACAATATATGTGCATTTTGTACACTTTTTTGTCTTGTTTAGTTTTTGCTTTGTTATTGTTTCCCTTTTTTCTGTTAAAGTTTGTATTTTAAGAAATACAATTAAAAATTATATAAAAAAGAAGAAATTATATTTCTAGAAATGCAGCATGAATAAAATCTACCAAGGATTGGCCTCTTTCGTTACCAAACTAGAATTGAAGAATTAAATCTAAAAATGATTCATTTCTTTTCCTTTTTTCACAGTCTGGAAAGTTCTCTAGTACATTTCCAACACCTCACAATCAACTGCAAGAGTATCAGGATACCGAAAATGCTGTAGAACATGAGAACATGAAAGCTGTCCTGAAGACGTCATCTCCAACTGGAGAGAACATTGCATTAGGAATACGCACTCGATCCAGGGCCAATCAAGGTGAACAATTTGGATTTATGTGAGGAATTGTGATTCACTCTGTTTTTATTATTATTGTTTGTTGCACAATCCGATGTTTAGACTGGATTTGGCATTTCTATCCACCTATCAATTCCTTCCCAAGGACCTGAGATAGGCAGATGTAGTTATTTGATGGTGTTACAGATATTGTTGCAGGATATAAGCTGTTCCGGATATAAGCCTTTTTGCAGCTGATGACTGATGTTCAAGAGATGCTCCAATTGTTTTGGGATTGCAATCAAGGTTCCTATCTTAGTATTGGTACTATCTTTGTTTTGCTTTCTTTTCCCATAGTCATTCTATTTCTGTTTGCAGGTCTTTGTATTTTGTGATTTTCTCTAGTTCTTTCTCTTCTCTTCTACTGTCTCCAGGCACTGCCACATCCACTAAGCAGACTTTTTTCTCTTTCTTATTGACCAGACATGTCAAAAACAAGGCCCAGGGGCCAGAGGCATCCAGCGAAGTGGTTTCATGTGGCTCACGAAGCCATCCTGGAAATAGTGAGGAAATGGCCCCCGCTGCCTTGGCCCTGGCCCTGGCCCAGGCCAGCCAGGAAGGAGCCAATGTACAATTTTGTGGTGGCCATCTATGTGAAACGCATTCAGTCTTAGCTCCACAAGGCCATCTGGAAACAGCAAAGAACCAGCCCCTGCCGCATCGGTCCCGCCTTCTGGGTGCATGCTGGGGAGGTGTCACCCTTTGGAGGAATGAAGAAATGCACCATCGCCTGGAAGTGGCCAGCAAATGGCCCTGGTCTACTTCACATATCTGGCTTGATGAGTTCCGGAGGAGGGGTTTTGGCAGGCAGCTGGGCGCTCTCCTCACAGCGCCGAGAGGCTGAGGTGGGTGGCGCGAATCTGATGAGAAGTGCAATGCTGCCTAGCCTCCAGCCTGCCCAGTTTCAGCAGGCAGCAAGGTGACAAAGCTGGTGAGCTTCACACCACCCGGCTCAACCTCTCGGCACCGTGAGGAGAGTGCCCCGCTGCCTGCTGAGACTGGGCAGGCTGGGGGCTGGGCAGCGGTGCGCTTTTTGGATTCGCACCGCCTGGCTCAGCCTCTCGGCGCTGTGAGAGGAGCGCCTCACTGCCTGCCGAAACCAGACAGGCTGGGGGCTGGGTGGCATTGCACAGGTAACATTGACTCTCACGCTGCTCATGGCATCCCCTCCCCCAGAGCCCACCAAGCCAGATATGTGAAGTAGGTGAGGGCCATGTGCTGGCCACTTCCAGGCGATGATGCATTTCTTCATTCCTCATGAAGGGTGACACCTCCCCAGCTGCGTTTCTTGCCTGTTTTTTTTCCCTCCCTCATCTCAAATATTTTCCCACCACTCTGTTCTTAGGAAGGAAAGAAGGAAAGGAGAGGGAGGGTCTGAGGGAAGTCCTGCCTTAGTCCTGCCCTGCTGCCCTTTCACCATCCCCTTGCCCCCTCCTTCTGGCCTATCCTGGGGGTCTCCCATCCTATTGTCAAGGAAGCTTTGGATACAAAGCCGGGTCTCCTCCCATGGAGAAGGAATGGGCCTCCCTCTGACTTTGCCCCTCGTACCCATCATGAACAATCTGGCTAAGGAGAGCAAGCACAGCCGCAGCAGCCTTGAGGAGGAGGTAAGTTCAGCTGGGCTCCCCCTTGGGGAAGTGGGGCTGGGCTTGGTGCTGTGGGTGCTCAAGGGCCAGGCTGGGCATTTGATGTCTGCTGGCCCAGGGCTCCTGGCAGCCCGCACCACCATCCAGCCCCTCCCACATGGCCTGAGAGGAACAGTGAGGCTCCTCCAATGGACCATGCCTCGGCACTTGCCCTGGTCCCAGCCCCTTCTGTCAGAGACCCTCAGATCTGTCCCACTCCTGCCCAGGCCCCCACAGGGACCATTGATGCAAATGTTGTAGAGCTGGCCATGCCCACCCCATAGGCCACACCCACCTTGGTCATACCCACCCGGCCCCCCAAGGGCAACCACAATGCTGATGCGGCCCTCAATAAAATTGAGTTTGACACCCCTGTTATTGATAATCATTAAATCTGGCATGTTATGTGGCATGTGCTTATTGGCTTTAATTCTGAACTTCCAAAGGACTTTAGGGTCTTCACTTTGTATTGCTATCTATATTTTGTGGCCTCACCAATTCTTGCTTGCAGGCAAATGGTATTTCCTGCATTTTTCCAATGCATCATTGTTGCTACTTTGCCATGCCATTGTTTCTAGGTGGTCAATATTATCTTCCTGCAGCAGCTATTTCTTCAGCTTTTTTGCAAAAGTAGCACTTGCTGTCTGCTGCTGTCTTCTCAATATCTGGCTTTGTATATGCTTGTTCTTATGGATTGTCTTGTGTAATCATAATTAGCCCTTCAAACTTTTTCTTCAATTTTCCTGCTCTTAGCCATTACCAGGTCCTGCTGTTAGCTGCTTTGCTTGCTATTTTTTTAAAATTTACTATCCATGTAATCCTTTGTCTTTCCATGCCACCTTTCTGTTTATCATTTATTTTTTCTTATAGGCTAATTTGTTCTCTCCAGTACTCGATAGGCCTTCCTGATATACTAGCTTCACAATTGACCAGTAATAATATCTTGCATTGTGCCATCAACTTATGCACAAAGCTTCTGATGTTTCTACTGACTCGTTATTTCTAGACACCTGATTATCTATCATTTGGCAGGGAGTCAAATGCCTTTTTATAATCAATCCATGCTACATTCAAGTTGGTCTTCCGTCTATTGCAGTTTTCCAGAATGATTTTGTCAAGTTGATCTTTAGTTTCTCTGCTGTTTGGACACTTTTCTTTCTGCTCAGGTATTCAACTAGATGCTATTGGACAGCATCAGCTTCCATTCGAGTTGGCAATTTGAAAGTTGTTGGTAAACAAATAGTTGGCCTATAGTTGCCTAATGATGCCCCCTGTAAGGTCCTGCCTCATCTGATTCTCTCAAGAAAGCAGAACTCTAGAAACTGGCAGCATTTCAAAAGGAACTTTTATTGAGAGATAGTGAAAACAAGAGAAGGGAGGCAGAATCTGAAGTTTCCGTGTGAAATTGTTAGGTTAAAGCCCATTGTTCAAAACCCCTCCCAACTGCCCAATCCATAGGAGCCAATCCAAAGGTGTTAAGATGTTGCTAGGATGTTGTGAGAACTCTGGATGGAAACTGTGATAAGATGATATTCCCAGGCGTCTCTTTTCTTGATGAAGCAAAGCAGATGGCCTTGGGCACTTCCCTCCCCCCTGACATTTCCCAGAAAGGTATATCAAAGCATAGAGGCACAGAGTAAACAAAAGCAAAGCTAAACACATCACAGGAGAGCTCCACGTTTCCCCCTCCCATTAGAATGGCAGCGTCCCGATAGAGCATCATAGGGCCCTGACATACTGCCCCCCTAGAAGAAGGGGAGATTCACCTGGAGCAGAGCAAGATAATAAAGAGGGGAGAACAAAATAACACAATAAATTAAGTTTATCTGAGTAAAGAGCTTGAAAACGTTTGAGCAGTCTAGGGACTCTAACATGTTTCTTGTGAACCCACTCATTTTGAGATGCGGGGAGGTCTTTCCATGCAACAAGGTATTGTGTTATTCCATGGTGTTTACGAGAATCAAGGATCTCTTTAATTTCAAAATGTTCGCCTTCAACATGATAGGTTGCAGCATTGGAACCTCTGCTGGCCATAAAGGCGAGGTTACTTCAGGTGTTAAAAAGCTGCATTGAAACACAAGGTGAAACTTTCTTAAAGTTTTTGGTAGCTCTAGTTCTACCATGATGGGGTTTATAATACATGTGATGGGGAAAGGTCCCACAAATTTTTGGCCTAACTTTTTAGAGGGTTGTAGGGACTGGAGATATTGAATAGATAGATAGACTCAGTCTCCAACATGGAACGGTTTAGGTTCCACTCATTTTTTTTGTCTGCTTGTGCCTTGTAGGCTGCTCTGGCTTTGTTTAGAGCTTTGCGAATGACTGGCCAGGTATTTTTCAGCTGGTCAATTCATTCTTTCAACAAGGGAATAGTGGGCTCATTGGCTGGCAACTTGGACATGAGATTTGTCTTGCCCAGTGGCCACTCTGAAAGGAGAAAGGCAGTGCTAGTGTGTACAGCATTGTTGTAAGTATCCTCTGAAAAAGGCAGGAGGTCAGTCCAGTTATCTTGTTGATAGTTAATGAAGCATCTCGGGTACTGTTCCATGCGATGGTCGGCATGATCTGGTTCTTCATCCAATTCGTCATCCTCATAGAGCGCTTCTTCCATTTTGTGTTTCCAGCCACTATATTCGCTGCCACAGGTGAGGATGATTCTTTTGGCTTTTCCTTCCCAATCCTCCTTCCCCACACCAACAGACCATCTCAGTTTCTCAGGGTCTTCCAGGGCAGTAATATCCTTTGTCCATTCACAAGACATTGTATCGGGGTGAGTTTTATAGGTCTCTTCCCAGCATTCAGCCTCTCTGAGCTCACTGCCTTGATTGGACATTGTTTGCTAGGTCCCTATGGTAGGGCTGGTGCCTCTTCGGGTTTACCACTTTGCAGATGTTTGATAGCTATGGCTTGACTTATTCAGTATGGTTGACAGAGGAATCAGTGCAATGACAAACATTAGCAGTGAAAGTGAGACTTCTTGGAAGATTCCTCTCTTGATATTAATCTCTCCTCAACCATTGATCACCATGTCTTCCATGGTGCCATTGATTTTTACACAAAGTTTCTGATGTTTCCACTGACTCCTGTTATTTCTAGACACCTGATTATCCATCATTTGGCAGGGAGTCAAATGCCTTCTTATAATCAATCTATGCTACATTCAAGTTGGTCTTCCTTCTTTTGCAGTTTTCTAGAATGATCTTATCAATTAGGAGTTGATCTTTCATTTCTCTGCTCTTTGGGCAGTTTTCTTTCTGCTCAGGATTTCAACTAGATGCTGTTAGTCAGCATCAGCTTCCATTCAGGTTGGCAATTTGAAAGTTGTTGGTAAGCAGACTTCCGGTTGGTGTCATGACG